TCGGCCCCGGGGCTGCGGCCGGGTGGGCCCCGATGGCGGCCGACCCCCGCCCGGCCGGGTCGGCGTCTCGGAGCCGTGGGGAGCGGGAGGCCAGCCCGCGCGAGAGTCCCGCCGGGCAGGAGGCCCGCGCGCGGCACGATCAAAGGCTGGGCCGGCCCGAGCGCCAGGGGGACCCCGGGCACTGCACGGGGTGGGCGGGCGGCCCCGGCCGGCCCTGACCTCCACCGCGGCCGGGACAAAGGAGGGAGCTCCCTGGCTAGCGAGAAGCCGTGCCGGGCCTGTGCGGCTGGAGAAGGACCTGGAGACACCGAAGGCCAGGCGGAGAGCGGAAGGCCGAGACGCCTCAGATCCCGGGCAGACGTGGTCAGACCAGGACAAGGGCAAGACCCAGACAGAGCTGCAGGGTGAGGCCCGGGGAAACACAGGCCACAAAGAAGCCCAGGAACAAAGGGCTTTCCAGAAACAGGAGAAACTGAACCAGAAGTGACGGCAGACCCAGCACCATGAAGTAAACCAGGCCAAGAGCCAGAGCCTGGGAAATGACAACCGAGGGGGGAATGAGGTCAGGATTCTGACTGCACCGTCGCGTGAGGAAGAGGAGAGGCAGGAGGACATAAATCTGTGGGGGACAGACCCTACAGGACGATTAAACTGTGACAGCCATTTGAGCAGACGGACATAGATCAAAAGGGAGAGATGTGGGCGCCTGAGACTGAACCAGGACTGTTAGGAACAAAGAAAGGACTCTGGAGCATACTGGTCAGGGAAGGAAAGGGAAGCCAATTATTCTCTGTCACCAGGAGAAAGGAAAGAGTAAAAAAAGGAAACTGGTAAATTCGGGTAGGGATCTATTTGGGACCATTTTGAGGAGGGAGTTTCCAACATCATCTGATGCTCTACTCAGTTGTGTGTCATTTAACCCCAGTATTAATGGAATATGCTGGGGTCAAGAGTGGAGAATGAGGAACTCTGGTAAATGTAGGTGACACTTTTTGCCCACATCTACCCCCAATGCAGCCGTTTTCCACCCTCTGTTAACCTGATTTTTCAGGAGGTGTGGAGAGGTGGTTGTGGATAAGAAGATAGGCTGGCTGATCTCACAATAAGGGCACATCAGCAAGAAAATAATTCATGAGACACTGAGCAGTCAAACCTGGGACTTGGGCTATCATTTCAGTTCACATTCTCAAGATTATGAAAGAGGAGCTTCCTGCCCCTGAGGCAGGGACTGTATCTCTCTACCTTTTGAGTAGTGCCAAGTATCTGGTCAATGCTCAGCATATTAATAAGGAGAAATGATGCTTTTCGCTAATAGGTGCACGCTGATTGTTTCCACATCACACCATAATCAGAAATCGGATGAGCAAGTCATTAATCATATCTTTTCCCATCAAGTTTTGCTGGCCTGCCCAAGTTGTAGGCATGGAGATTGGACAGGGAAGGGCCTGAAAGAGGACAGGGAGGATGCTTAGATAAATGCTCATTTCCTTCCAGTGTAATCTTGTGTGCTTAAAAAAAACTAGTTCACTGTTTACTGTCAGCTGCTAATGAACTCAGTTTACAAAAAGAAAGGGAATAAGTTTGAGGTGTATATATATTTTAAACAAAAGGCTTCAGTGGAAAATGCAGGATGAGCCAGTGATTGATGGCACAAGCACATTTTTCGTAAACAGTAAAGAATATAGAAGTGCTAACTCTGGGGATCTTGACTGTATCCATGCTGAGTCATCTGCATTTCCTATATTATCTTATACCAGTAGGACTAAGAAGGCCTAGACACAAATCACACATACACACACCTCCACCCTCACCCCCAAACAAACATCTGTCTCTTCATTTTCATTACAGTAAATAGAAAAGTCCCTTCATTCCCTCCTGGGATTGCTACATGCTGACTGATGCTTGCCAAAGATGAGGCAAAAACAGGAACAAGAAGGGAAAGCGTCTACTCTGGGAACAGAGAGAAGACCTGGGGGTTTGCGGGGAGAAGTCAAGGGGGTTGAGATTCCTATGAAGGAAACACAGAAATTAAGAAAGTTCTGCTTTGGGTTGTGCTGGAGGGCTTCTCTGAGACTCAAGTTGCTTTCTTGACAAAATTTGCATTTAAATGCTCCCATGAGATTTTGAAGTAAAGCATTCTTCTAATGAATGGAAAGGGGGAAGTCCACATGTTTGGCTGATGTTCCTGTTTTATAAAGAGAAAATTTTACAAGGATAGAGGAACAAAGCAGCTGGGGGCGGGGATGGGAAGAAGAAAGTCTATGAAGGGGAGATTTTTCGTCTTTTTTCAAGCAACAATCTAAATTTATAGCCAGACCACACAGTCAGGAAAGCTCTGAGCCTTTCTCCTTTTGGTCTTAGATTTCTCTTTGCTCCTGATGGGCAAATCTGCTGTTGCATTTCTTTTTTTTTGAGTTGGAGTCTCACTCTGTCACCCAGACTGGAGTGCAGTGGCCGCTCCCAGCCACCGCAGCCTCGACCTGCTGGGCTCCGGTGATCCTTCCACCTCAGCCTTCCGAGTAGCCGGAATTACAGGCATGCGCTACCACGCCCGGCTGATTTTTTGATTTATTGTAGAGATGAGGACTCGCTGCCCAGGCGGGTCTCGAACCCGTAGGCTCAGGCAATCCACTCACCTCAGCCTCCCAAAGGCGCGGGATGACAGGCTGAGCCACCAAGCCCAGCTTGCTGTTGCATTTCTAAGGAGGATGCGGGGCGGGGGTGGGGGGGGTGGGGGGGGTGGGGTGTGTGTGTGTATATGAAGGAGGTAAGGTGTACTCGGAAGGGCATCTAGTGGGGGAGAAGGGTAATACAAGGAAAAAAAGCCCTGGTGTCCTCCCACACTTAAGCCTCATCAAATATCCCTCTCCCTAAAGCCTTGTCACTTTCAATTTCTTTCAGCTCCTCAAATGTGCTCTTTTTCCTCCACACCTTCCCACCTGCCTTTCTCCCAGCCTATAAGCCTTCATCACTCTCTTCCTTTAGTCTCTGCTGAGACTCTGAGGGCTGGGGGAACTTCCTTGACCCTCCTCCCCAGGTTAATAGGTCCTCTTCTACCCTGTATTCTTCTTTGGTCTTTCTTTTTTTTTTTGAGTCGGAGTCTCACTCTGTCGCCCAGACTGGAGTGCAGCGGCACGCTCCCGGCCACTGCAGCCTTGACCTGCTGGGCTCCGGCGATCCTTCCGCCTCAGCCTTCCAAGTACCTGGAACCACAGGCATGCGCTACCACGCCCGGCTAATTTTTTGATTTATTGTAGAGATGAGGTCTCGCTGCCCAGGCAGATCTTGAACCCACGGGCTCAGGCAATCCACTTACCTCGGCCTCTCAAAGCGCTGGGATTACAGGCTGAGCCACCGAGCCCAGCCTTGGTCTTTCATCCTTACTAAATCATTAGTTCCCTGAGGCCTGGGGTTGTTATCTGTCTTGTTCACCACAGGATCCTTAGCATCTAGCAAATGATCTGGCACACACAGGGCACTCATTAAATATTTGTTTAAAAATTTGATTAAGGCCGGGCATACAAAATCTTCCATATTTAGATCTCTACTTTCCTCTTCAGGCTGCTCTCCCATGACAACCTTGTATGTACAATATTCCCCTATAATCTGGACCTTCACCTAGAATGTCCAACCCACCAAACTCCACCTACTGAAATATACCTTGAAAAGTCACCCTATAAGTGATATGAAGTTTGTTTATTGTTAGAGACAGGGTCTTGCTATGTTGCCCAGGTTTGTCTCAAACTCCTGGCCTCAAGCGATCCTCCACCTCAGTCTCCTGAGTAGTTGGGATTACAAGCACAAACCACCGTGGCCAGTGACATGAAGTTATTTTTAATCCACCCAGGTAGAAGAGGCTCTTCTCAAAATCCCAACTGCATTTTCTTTCCCCTATTTCTGAGGCTTCAACCACATATGTTGTGGGTGTCTGCATCACTGCCTCCCTAACCTCCTTGTTCATAAGTTATTTGAGGGCAGAAATGTCTATGTCATCTTTCTTCATCACTGGGCCTAACACAAAACTTTGCACCTAGTAAATGTTCGACAAATATTTGCTAAAGAAATGGGTGTTTCCTTGAACTCATATGGAGGTGGGAGAGGGGGCCAGATCTATGAATTTAAACAGCTGAGAATCCAATTCAGTTTCTACACATGGTCAAGGGATAAGGAGACTTCATGTGCAGAGAGAAAAGGGAGAAGTGCAAAAAGTATTTCTCCTACTAGTGCTCCTCCCCCAATCTCTGGAAGGTTTACTCCACAACTCTTCTTCAATTTGGCTCATGCTGCATTCTTTTACAAGTGTTAATTGAAGTTTTATAAATAAATTATTTGTAGCCGGGCTTGGTGGCTCAGCCTGTAATCCCGCGCCTTTAGGAGGCTGAGATGAGTGGATTGCCTGAGCCCGTGGGTTCGAGACCCGCCTGGGC